ATTGTAGAGATGAGGTCTCACCAAGTTGCCCAGGCGGGTCTCAAACCCGTGGGCTCAGGCAATTCATTCACCTCAGCCTCCCAAGGTGCAGGATGACAGGCTGAGCCACCGAGCCCGGCTCCAAAACATTATTATAGGTTACTGTTTATATGAAGGTATAATTTTCAAAACCAATCTTAAAAAAAATAAAACCCCCTATTAAAATATTTGTGAATTAGTCTTGATTTGATTGTTGACACCACTGATTGATAGTAATTTTGACATACTGTAAAAGGAACATAGGACATCTACCTCTAAAAGAAGCTGGGCTTGGTGGCTTAACCTGTAATCCCGCACCTTTGGGAGGCTGAGGTGACCTCATCTCTACAATAAATCAGCCGGGCGTGGTAGCGCATGCCTGTAATTCCGGCTACTCGGAAGGCTGAGGCGGAAGGATCACCAGAGCCCAGCAGGTGAGGCTGCGGTGGCCGGGAGCGGCCACTGCACTCCAGTCTGGGCCACTGAGTGAGACTCCAACTCAAAAAAAAAGAAAAAAGATGAGAAAAATTTTATTTCTAAAGTACTTTTGAGCAATATTTTTAATGTAATTAATAAGGTCTGGCACTCATTGAATAGATTTCAAGATCCTTTAAATTTTGGGACACTAATAAAAATACTTGGAATGAAAAGAAACTCTAGGAGTAAACTTCAAACCACTTCCTCCTTCACTTATCCTGTTTGAGGATTTATTTTCCGTTGGTTTTAACAAATAGATTTTAATACACAAGTTCATGAGGGAAATTCAGCAACATAGTTGGATGTTAAAGCAGTTTTTTAGAAATTATGCCCGATACGTTAACTTTACAGTTTTGTACTAGTAGAAATGCTGTTGAGCAAAATCAAAGCAGCAGTAGCCCAAGTATGGTCCTTCACAGAGATATGAATGACGACAGCCTAAATAGTCTCTTTTCCTCTGTAAACAGCTCTTTTTCTCTGTAAATAAAAACACTGAGCTACACATTTTACAGATTCTTACCTTTACTTTTGATATCAGATAAAATCTACAAATATAATATGAAACATTTTAGAAATCAATTTGCTGGCAGAATTAAGCCTTCATGTGTTTCTGAAGTCCAATCACTATCAACTGTTTAGATTCCATATTTAATACCTTTTCCTTTCTTTCTGCTCTCTTTATCCAATCCTAGTACTTCTTGCTTAAGAAATAAGCTTGCTGGGCTCGGTGGCTCAGCCTGTAATCCCGCACCTTTGGGAGGTTGAGGTGAGTGGATTGCCTGAGCCCCCGGGTTCGAGACCTGCCTGGGCAGCGAGACCTCATCTCTACAATAAAAAAAAAATCAAAAAATCAGCCAGGCTTGGTAGCACATGCCTGTAATTCCGGCTACTTGGAAGGCTGAGGCGGAAGGATCGTC